CTTTCTGCCATTCATGGATGGTTTTCTACTCTCAGACCCTGTTTGATTCAGCAATGTTTATTAGCTACAACCTCTAGCAAGAATCTTCCCAGGCTGAAACTAGTTCCCAGGGTCAGCCAGTCAACACAGAGTGAATTTCTCAGGGAGGTGCCAGCCTCATCCTCTTATCTCTTCCTCACCCTTCAGGAGACGAAAGAGGATGCTTCCCTCCCTGAGTCTGGCCTTCATAATTCCATTCCATCACATCACCCCCCCCCTCCATCTTTATCCTCCCCCTCGGCGTTCTCAGCAGAACTTGGCAAAGGCGGGAGGGACGACATGTCAGGTGATGATGGTCTCTCAGTACCTCCTGCCTCCTCCATACAGTCTTCCGATGGGTCCTGAAAAACAGCTTCCCTCCCTGAGTCTGGCCTTCATAATTCCATTCCATCACAATAACTGAGAACTTGACATTATCTACAAAAAGAGATGAAGGACCACTTTAAAAAGATTGAGTATTGCTATAACTGAAGGGTTACTTCCTAGAAGGCTGGGACAAAAGTCTGCAAGGAATCAGCCGTTCAGTAGACTGCTGAGTTCTATGTTAAGGACTTGTGAATCTTGCAATTTGCAGTTATTCAGATTCTGAAGCTGTTTTTCCTATAGAAATCCACTTCTGTCTTCCTCTATAGGTTCTGTAGCCATTTTTCTTTTTTTCCCCTCCCCCCACCCCTAAGATGAAACTTTATGGCCTTAACCTAAGTCAGTTGAGTCTCTAGATGTCATTAAAATCATTAAATTAAATAAATGTATTTACGATCCCAGACTAATAATTTAAATAAATGTATTTACGATCCCAGACTAATGATTTAAATAAATGTATTTACGATCCCAGTACAAAATTTAAAATACAGAAAAACCAAACCTGAAAAATAATAATGAGAAGAGGGTATCAGTTGGCTTCTGCTAGAAACTTGGCAGCCTTTACTGTGGTTGTCCAAGTTAGGTCTTGCAGAAGGAAGATTGTAATTTCTTCATCACAGAGACAACCAACATTTTTGACAATTGAGTTTATGGACTCCATGGGTGATACAATGGGCAGTGTAACAATACATGGATTACTGACTCAAACTCTGCATCTGAGCAGACACACCTATAATTGTTGTACTACAGTTTCCATAATAGGTAGTGCACCAATCTGAGTGAAGATAAAAAATCTTCTATGTGGAATATGTAGGATGTTTTAGGGGTAGACTTTGTCATCTCAGAGTTGAGCTGAAACAAATCTTTTGGGGTGAGTCTCTAGTTCACCTTACCCTACTGGATAGGTTCTTCTCATCTCTGAGGAGGCAGTTTGATTCTGATCCGGTGCATTGTAGCATCTTACTTCAGACAATACTGTCTCTCAGCCTAGAGAAAGCTTTATTCAAACTTAAACAGAGGATTTGGGATTTAGATCTACAAAATGGCAGGGCCAAAATCAACCATCTCTATTATAGCGCTATTGCAGGTTCTGCATAGATGATTCTAGATGTCAAATGTTGAACCCTGCAGTATGATCCTGCTCTATTTGTTGTAGAACATGGGGCTCAAAGATTGTGAAACAATTCCTTAGAGATATCTTTCATAAAATAAGGGTGGTCCATGGTCCACTCATCCCAAATGTTGTCCTCACTCTTTTTATTTTGTTTCATTTATTTAATTCTCTCTCTCTCTCTCTCTCTCTCTCTCTTTTTTCCCCCCAGTTCATAGCAGCCAATGACAAGCTATGGTTTTGGCTGGAAGTAAACTCTGTGGTTGATTTCTTCACTGTTCCTCCCGTGTTTGTTTCAGTGTATTTAAACAGAAGTTGGCTGGGTAAGTACACAAAATTGCTGTTCCTCATTGTATATGTAAAAAAGAAAGAAGAAAATAGAAGAGAAAATGCAATAGGAGCTGGTAAAGGGTGTGTTCCATGGGAATGGCAGAGGGTGTGGATTTATTTTCTATAGAACCCAAGGGCAAAACAAGAAGCAGTGGGTGGAAGCTTAACAGGAAGACATCCAAACTTGAAAGTAGAAATGTCCTGACCGTGAGAGCTCTTAGGCAGTGGACCAGCCAGCCTCCTGAATGCATGGGTGCTCCATCACTGGAGGCTTTCAAGAAAAGATTGGATGGCCGCTTGTCTGGGATGGTCTGAGGATTCCTGCACTGGGCTATATGGCCTCTAACATCCCTTCCAACTCTATGATTCTGTTCTTCTAAGCATCCTTGGGAACCTGGTTCAGAAGGCAACTTCATGCCCCTTTTCTGCTTCTAAAAGGAATGTGAAATCGCCGTGTTGCTTCACTTTGCCTTGCTTCAAGACCTTTTCCAATAGCTCCATTGCCACTTCTCTGTTTGTACAGGTCATGCACAAAACTCTCTTTTGATTAAATGGAGTTTCTAGAAGTCCTGGAAAATGCTTCTGCACATGCCCTATGTTTATGCAGAACTGTCTTCTAGCTAATGTGTTTTCTGGGATGAGGTTTTGGAATCTTACAAATGGCATAAATGGTGAATATCAGGGCTTCTGTAGTATGAACCACCTCCTGAAGGCCAAATGAAGCCTTCTTGCCCTCACGTACCAAACAGACCGGGGGGATCAGTCTCTGACTTTTGTCACTCCCCATATGAAATGAAAATTGCAGTTTGCAATGGATGAGTTTGTCCACTGAAACTGGATTGAATTCCTCCTTTTTCCTAAGCAGACATTCCTTTTTCCTGAATGCGTTTTGACTCACTTCCACACTGATTACGAAATTTTGAAAAACCAGTTCTGCATAAATTGGTGTGCATTTTGTGTCTACATTTCTTCAAATATACCAAATTGTTGTATCTTTTCCCTGGTAAACACACTTTCCCCCCAACTATTTTCCTAAAACATTCCATACTTTTCACTAATATTGTGCATTGCCAAATTCTGAAAAATGCAGGCTTCTTCAGATAAAAATTCAAACTGAATGAATTTCTCTACCTGAGGCAAATTGCAGTTACTTGCAACAAAAGATTATATTCATTGATGAGATTATCTTCCTGACACATTTGATAAATAGATATGGCTGGCAGGAGGGTCTTCATGTTTACATGGGAGAGGATTCCTGTGCTGGTGGAAGGGGACTTTTGGTATCATCCAAAACTGTCTTTGTTGAGTTCATTTTCAGCAACACTTAAAAATTAAGTTACCATGATGTGACTTTCTCCTGATTGCTATTTGTTCATGTTCCTGGTACCTGGCTTGTTGAGATTATGAGTTCTTGTCACGATATCAGTGCCAGTAACTAAGAGCTGGATTAAGTTCACACTACCATGCTGAGCCAAGCATTCTCAGATTAATCATTTCATTGGGGTTAGAGTTGGGCAGGGAATAATTAAACGTTTATTTTAATTATATTTAAATATTATTCAAAATGTAATCACAGGGATTCTCATTCTTTGGGGTACAATAACTTGTGCAGAGAAAGTAAGAAGTTAAGCTTGGACTAAATTCTGACAACCTTCTCACTCTGCCTGCGCAAAGCTGATCAAGGATTTACTTGTGTGTGCCTGTGTGTCTCTGTGTGTATATATGTCAGTGTCAGCCCCTATGAGTTATCTTTGATCCTTCAGGGGTCCCAAATCACAGTTTGATTCGCCTTAGCATGATGTGTGAGCCTATCTCAGAGGAGATGTGGGCTTTTGTGGTTAGTTTTACTCTTTTACAGCTATTTCATGGGTAAATCCTTGTGTCTCCACTGAATTATAAATAGTGCTGCCTTTCTAAAACCATTTTTCACCTGAAACCTGGTATGTATTCTTTCTAGATGCAGCTTTCCCCCAATACTTTATTTGTCTGCTTCCCTGCTTTTGGTGTTTAGACTGCTTTTAAAGAAGAAAAAGGCAGGATCAATCTTTTAGCAGTTAAAGCATAGTTACGATTTCTAAAGAACCTGAAGGACAGTGACATATGGTAATAATTATAAGCTTCATAACTTTAATTTGGCATTCGATAACTTGAGGCTTCATCTAGTTCTGTTCTGTTGATTTGGTAGATAGCAGATGATGGAAATTGTCAAAATGTTTTCCTTTCATCTCCAGCCTGTTTTTAGAACTATGTGCTTCTGCCCTCTCGTGGTCATCTTGAAGCATGACTGCATGAGCTGGGACAGGTAATTGCATGAGGTGAAAAAAAAAATATCCTGCCACAATACTGCATGAAGTTTCTAAGTCCAACAGTGATTTTTGTTAGGCCTAAAAAGCCCTCCAAACATTGAACGTTGCTTTTTACTGGCAATATTAGAAGCAACTTCTGTCTCTGATGTGTGGGGCCCTCAGAGAATTGTGTCACTACTCAGACACTCAGCTTTGCCAAAATCCAACTGATGACAAACAGATGAGTTTAATCAATATGCAATGTCTGCCAATTTCATGAGAAGGCTACCTTGAGCACTTGGCCTATATATTTATTTATTTATGTTTATAAGAATGTTATTAAGTTGTAGAAAGCATACAGATGAAACCAAGCAGGAACTAATAATCAAAGAGAAAAGTAGAAAACAAAAGAGTTAGAGATAAAGAAGGAATACAAATGTGATGAAAGTTAAAGAAAAGGGAAGAAAGGAACAATTACCAAAAGTATGACTTCCGACTTCTTTTACAACAGATATAGATAAATCATATAGTAACCTCTTACTCTAA